AGCGACGCGCGCGGGTCGTCCGCGGCGCGAGGCCAAACAATTAGTCGGGCAGTCGAGAGAAGGCGCGGCTCGGGGGAGACGCTCCTCAGGTCAGGCCTCGCGGATGAACTCGGTGAAGCCGAGCTCCCTGGCGAGGGCCGTCGCTTCCCTCCTGCGCCGCTTCGGCCCCCTGGGTCCGCCTTCGGGCCCCGGAGCTCTGACAAAAAATGATTACTCCGATCCTCGTGAGGGGTGTGCCGACATGGGGCGGGGCCGTCATGCGAACCCTGCCATTGGCGCCTTCGGTGAAGCTCCCTATGAGGTCACGAACCGTGTGAGGGGTGTGCCGAAAAGGGTCGGGGCCGCCAAGCGAACCCTGCCACTGGCGCCTTCGGTGGAGCTTCCTATGGGGCCACGATTCTCGTGAGGGGTGCGCCAACATGGGGCGGGGCCGCCATGCGAACCCTGCCACTGGCGCCCTCGGTGGAGCTCCCCACAGGGCCACGATCCTCGTGAGGGGTGCGCCGACATGGGGCGGGGTCGCCATGCGAACCCTGCCACTGGGGCCTTCGGTGGAGCTCCCTATGGGGCCGCGATCCTCGTGCGGGGTGCGCCAGATTGGGGCGGGGCCGCCATGCGAAGCCTGCCACTGGGGCCCTCGGGGGCCGCGAACCGTGTGAGGGGTGCGCCAGAATGGGGCGGGGCCGCCATGCGAACGCAGCCACTGGGGCCTTCGGTGGAGCTCCCTATGGGGCCACGTACCGTGTGAGGGGTGCGCCAGAATGGGGCGGGGCCGCCATGCGAACGCAGCCACTGGGGCCTTCGGTGGAGCTCCCTATGGGGCCACAATCCTCGTGAGGGGTGCGCCGAAATGGGGCGGGGCCGCCATGCGAACGCAGCCACTGGGGCCTTCGGTGGAGCTCCCTATGGGGCCACGAACCGTGTGAGGGGTGCGCCAGAATGGGGCGGGGCCGCCATGCGAACGCAACCACTGGGGCCTTCGGTGGAGCTCCCTATGGGGCCACGAACCGTGTGAGGGGTGCGCCAGAATGGAGCGGGGCCGCCATGCGAACGCAGCCACTGGGGCCTTCGGTGGAGCTCCCTATGGGGCCACGAACCGTCGAGGGGTGCGCCAAATGGGGCGGGGCCGCCATGCGAACGCAGCCACTGGGGCCTTCGGTGGAGCTCCCTATGGGGCCACGAACCGTGTGAGGGGTGCGCCAGAATGGGGCGGGGCCGCCATGCGAACGCAGCCACTGGGGCCTTCGGTGGAGCTCCCTATGGGGCCACGAACCGTGTGAGGGGTGCGCCAGAATGGGGCGGGGCCGCCATGCGAACGCAGCCACTGGGGCCTTCGGTGGAGCTCCCTATGGGGCCACGAACCGTGTGAGGGGTGCGCCAGAATGGGGCGGGGCCGCCATGCGAACGCAGCCACTGGGGCCTTCGGTGGAGCTCCCTATGGGGCCACGAACCGTGTGAGGGGTGCACCAGAATGGGGCGGGGCCGCCATGCGAACACCACAGGATGGTTGAAAACTAATGGCCATGGCGATGATGATGACGATGATGATGCTAGTGGTGATGATGACGATGATGATGATGATGATGATGATGATGATGATGATGATGATGATGATGATGATGACGATGATTGGAGAAGAGAGGAGGGCAGCGGGAGGTGAGACGCGGGGCGCTGTCTCTTCAAAACGAGGACCCAACACCACAGGATGGTTGGGAACAATAAAAACAATAACTCCCCATGCTTGTCCTCCAATGTGGCGTCGATGAGTCGGCGAGCCAAGAATAATGCATTCGCTGTGCCGCGTCCTGGTCTGAATCCATATTGCCATTCCCGAAGGCGCTGTTCTACTCCTCCTGTTTTGAGTCTATGCAGCAAAATGCTCGCCATTGCATCCAACGGCCAAGAGGGAGATATGGCGATAATTGCTTGGTTGCGACGTGTCCCCCTTTTTGAAAAGCGTGACGATGGAAGCCTCCCGCCATTCTTCTGGAATTTGCTTTTGTTGCCAACAAGTGTCGCACAGCTCCCGGATGATGTCCAGCGCGTCGTCGTTTGACCATAATGCGCGCCACAAGTCTGGAGGCACGCCGTTGTTCCCAGTTGCTTTCTGAACCCGTAGACACTTGACTGTCCGGCGTACCTTTTCCAACGTGATGGATCCAGTATTAACATGTAGAAGTGCGACATTGTTGTCCAGATCCGGGGGTTCTTCGGGACCTTCATATAATTTCCATTGCTCCTCTTCCAGATAAGCCGCTATTGTCTCTGCTTTCTTCTCGGCGTCCACCAAATTCCCATGTTTATCTCGTAATCGTCCGTGGCGTGGTGTTTGTGTTTTCGTGGAGAGAACGGACCGTTTGCCAACCTCCGTTTTCAATCGCTTTGTCTAGCCATTGTTTCTTATCAGCCCGCGCAGATATTTGTACTTGTTGTTTGAGCCTTTTACTTCTTCGTGACTGCTCCGCACTCTTGCTTCATTCCTTTTTGCCCAATCACAACAGAGTCCGTGATGAAATCCATGGCTTGTGAGGCGTGGCTGAGAGAAGCGGAACGTGATCCGAAGCAGAATCCATCATGTATTGAGCTATCGTTGTCGCTTTATGTTGTATTGAATAGGAAGACCGCGTACTTTCCCAGTTGTTGATGAAGCTGTCAATGTATTTCTTGGCTATTGACTCGTTTTGCAGAAACTTCCAATCGTATCGCAGAGGTCGCCGGGCACTTTCAACGATATGAATGACAATGTTCATATCAATAACGCACAAGAAATGATGGGATTGCAATGCACACTCCTGGTCACTCCAGACAAGCCGGATATTTGAAAGCCAGTTGTTGTCAACGATGACGTGGTCGAGTTGTTCGAACTTGCGTGGCACCATTGGGTGCATAGGGTCCGTGCCAATGTCGTGAAACGTAATATTGTGTTCCGGCGGTGTGTCGAAAAAGGTGTTTGCGATTCATGCGCTTGTTGATGTGCAGAATTCGATAAGAAGTTCTTTGTTGAGGGGTGGGTGTCACATGCTTCTCGCATTACGAAACACATACACCCCAGAGCAATGCCCTCGCCAGCGAATCTCTCCAAGAGCCTTGCGTTGACATCTCCAAGTAATAATGGTGGTCCGTGGGACCAGCATTGACGATAGTTTTGTTCCAACTCGGAAAAGATATCGTTCCGTATCTCGTAAGCGTACACACTTGTCCAACCATGTACGGTAATCAATGTAAGTACACCACCAGTTATTCGAATACGTAAGTTGGCAACGCGATGGTTGTATTGTATATATCCTTTTAGTGACTGTCTTGCCCATGGTGCGGCAATGAAGCCAACTCCAGCATATTCTCTTGATCTCATTTGACCCAGGTGATATAACGAAGTGACCTTCGAATTCGAACGTCTCGGAGCCGCAACAATTTGTCCCCTGAGGACAAAGAACTGCGATATCCAAATCACGCATGTCCTTGATGAGCTCAAAAAGCTTGTGCGGACTGCTTTTGGTAATGCCTTCGTCATTCCATGTTGCAATTCTGCCGCACTCCATGGGCCAGCATGGGAATGTTACCCACTCGCCCACCCAAGCTTTCCCTGCAGTGTCGATGCGCCGCCGTGACCCTAATGTGTATTCAACCCGGTGCCTTTCTTCCCTTTCCCATTGCCTTTTGATACCCGGTTGAGCGTGTCGTCGGCGCGTGTGGTGAGGTGCCCTATTTCGGAACTCTTCGTAACATCCTAGTTGCTCCAAGCTCCTTTCCAAGATAGTTCTAAAGAATTGTTGGCAATGCGCACTGCTACCACTGGGTCATCGGCAACTTTCAGCACGTAGTTGTCCGTGTCAACGCGTTTCTCGCTTTTCGAGTACCCCAATTCCATGAATTGCTTGCGAAGTCCAAATAGGGGACTCTCGGGCACGCGTTTCTATATCGGTTGATCGGCACGTGCCCAAACAATATCATCAGCATGTTTGATTTGTGTTTTGACAAATGTGTTGACGAACTTGTCCCGGGCGGCGATCGTGGCAAACTTAATCAAGGCAATGTTGTTCATTTTGCCTTGCACGAATATGTCGACGTACTCTGGCACTTGGACGCGGCCGAATTGTTATTTCAAGAACGTCACGGCCGTATCGAAATCCGAGCAATGACCCAAGCCGCCAATGACTGCGTTACACTCCCGGTTATCCCCCCTCAGGTTCGCAAATTGCTTCTCCAGTTCCGAGAGTTTGTCCTCGATCTCGGTGCTGAGGCTGGGTGTTGCCGCGGATGCCATCGAAGGGGACATCGTACCGGATTATTCCAAGATGTCCAGACGCTCGGAAAGTTTGTGCATGTTGTAGTTGATCGGGGCTAGGGATTCGTTCAATTCGTTCTTGGACATGGCGTGTTGTTTGAAGGCTCCGATGTCCTTGTGAATGGGGCCAGGTACTGCTTGCACATGCCCTCGATTGCGGCCATGCTGACTTTCCCCGTGGCAAGTCCAGATGCTGCTCCTCCTTCTCCTCGTCCTCCTCCTCCTCCTCCGTAGCCATTTTGGCTCAAGACGCTTCTGCAGGAAGCAGTGCCCCGCAGGCACCTGCCATTGGCCGGCTGGCCCCCGTCGCTAATTCTCCGCCCACTTCTTTCCTAACGTCTCTTCGCCAACCGAGCCAGCCCAGGTTAGGCCGCGGGCCGCATGCACTGCCTGGCGCGGACGCCCTCGCCCGTGGGCAGGGCGTCCGCCTCGCGGACCTGTCCGCGCACCCCCAGACGCCCAGGACCGGGCTCGGAGAGCATCGCGTCTGGGGCCGAGGCGTCCACCTCGCCACGCACGCCGTCGCCCGTGGGCAGGCGCGCCCTGCCGCAGACTCCCCCGCGCCCGAGCACGCGCGGGGCCAAGGCGCAGCTCAGCACTCCGACGCCCTGTCCTCGGGGGCGCAGGGTCGCCCTGGAGTCCGAGATCGACGCTGCGGTCCGCGAGCGCTGCCTTCTCAGCCTGCAGCTGGCCCTGTGTCGCGGCCACCCCTGCCATGGCGCATCACATCTCCGAGGCGGTGAGCCGGGGCCATTGCGGCGCGCTGGAGGTCCTGCTGGAGGCGGGCTCGGAGGGGCTCGACGAGGAGTACAGAGGCCAGAGGCCGCTGCAGACGGCGTGCGGTCGGTCCGCGTGCCAGGGGGACGATGGGCACAGGCTGGCAGAGGCGCTGCTGCGGCACGGCGCCGACCCCGCGTGCGGCGACGTCTCGCACACGCCGCTGCACGAGGCCTGCAGACGAGGGAACGCCCAGATGGTCCTGCTCCTGCTGCAGCACAGGGCCGACCCCAGCGCGCCTTCCCCGGGCGGCCACTCGCCTCTGCACGCGGCTTGCCAGGGCGCCCCGGTGCTCGACCCCGCGCTGCACCCGAAGATGGTCGACGTCCTCCTGCTGCACGGGGCCCGCCCGCTTGCCGCCGACGACTTCGGCCTCCCTCCGCGGGCGTACGCGGCGGAGGGCGGCCTGTACCAGAAGCTCGGCAGGGCCGAGAGGTGGTGGACCCGACGCTCCCTCCGCTCCGTGTGCCGCGCCACGGCAGACTGGCCGGGGCTGGCCCCTCCCGAGCGCGGGCCCGAGCGCCTGCTGCACGGTGTGGTCACGCTGTCCGGGGTGCTGGGGGCGGTGTTGGACTTGGTGTCCCACGAGGCGGCCCCGGGCACCCGGTGCTGGCAGCACCAGCGCGGACCATTCCTGCAGTGGGCCCCCTTCTGCTAGGCGGAGAGGTGGGGGGGGCTCTCGCTGGCGTCCTTGGGCGTGCAGCCGCTCTGTCTTGCTCCCATCCTTGCCCTTCTGAAGCCTCTGCTTTCGCCCCGGACGAGGCTTCACGGCACCTGTGCGGCACACAGCGCCGCGCCGCAGTGATGGGCAGTTGCCGTGCTGCAGGGCGGCGGCACCTGAGTGGAGTCTGATGGATGTTGGGAGGCGGCATTCACGAGAAGGAGGAGGGGAGGGAGGAGAGGAGAAGGATTAGTGTTCGATCAGCTGCTACTGCTGTCGTTTTCTGTAGACATTGCCGTGGGAACGGGTGTTGCTGTTGTAGCTAGTTGAAGTTGTTGTACCATGTAGAAAGAATTCGTGTGGCCATGCCACTCCATGATTTTTTGCTGAATTCAAGTGGTAGCATCGTAGCGAAGTGGCGCGCTATTATTCAGAACAGTGGCCTTGGGTGGGATGTGAAGCACTATGGATTGGAGGGGGCGAGTTGTAATACAGCGCGCATTGGCACTGGTGTTTTAAAGCAGCTTGGTCATGACAGCTTGCACTTCTGCCAACAAGCGGCATGAAGGCGAGCGCAGGTGCGACATGCACGCTACAAGATCTCTCTGTCTGTTTTTTTGTTTTTTGTTTTTTTTTTCTCTCTCTCTCTCTCTCTCCCTCGCCCTCTATCCCAAGCACGCCTCTCACACCTTTCGTGGCCCTCCTTCGTCCCACCTGCCCTGGGGCACCCACACTTGCATATGGCCGAGTCTCTCGCCAGGCTAACTTTTCTAAGCTGGCCAGGCGCCGACGCCCAGCAAGGGCTGCCCGCACAGGGAGTTCGGCGATGGGAACCGTGGAGTCCTCGGTTGTTACAGTGCAGCCTCGCCGCACCAGTCATCTAAGCGGGCGTGCAGTTCGCGCCGGTGTGGCGAGCAAGTCGGAGCAGAGGAGTGCGAGCGACCCCCCCCGCACTCCTCGGGCCGCTCCCGCGCGGACGTTCGTTCGGAAACCGCTTTTCATTGCCAGGTGGCAAGCACACGAGGCGCCACGGGCAAGTGACAGGCAAGGCGGGGGCAGTACCTGCATAACAAGCGAGCCCGCTCGGCGGAGCAAAGCGAGGCTTGGCCTCTACATATGCCTCCGAGGCTCTTGATATAAAGGGCGGTAGCTCTTCAAGCTATGGCTATGACGTCCGCCGCGCAGTGCAGCAAAGAGGTCTGCTGCCACAACAGCTGTTGTGGCACGAGCTCAACTTAATCTAAACAAAGTGAAGGCAATCTATTGTCGCGTGTCGCCGGGGCGGTCTGCCCACACGAGTTTTTCATTTACACCCGTGTCCGGGATCTCAGTCGCAGTGATGCCCGGGGCTGCGGCTGCAGCTGCTCCTGGCGAGTCGACGGAGCTCTCGCAACCCGTCGCGGGCAAGGGTGGCACGCTTGGCCGGTTGAACGAGCGAAAGGCGCAGGTGCAGGCCGCCTTGGGCAAGTCTCCCAGCAAGGCTTCTCCTCCGAGGAAGACCGCCCGGACCAGCGAGAACGAGGGGAGCGTCGGCGCGCAGGCAGGGCATTTTGCCCCCGCACCTCCCTTTCCAGGGATGGCCAGCGGGTCAGTCGGGACCGGCCCTTCGGGTGGCAGTCCCGGCACTGGCGCAGAGCCGAGCGCTGCCGCCGTTGCAGCGGTTGCTCCCGGGACCGGCCCTACGGGTGGCAGTCCCGGTGCATGCAAAGGCCCTTCGGGTGGCGTGCATGCGGCTCCTGAGACCGGCCCTTTGGGTGGCAGTCTCAGTGGTGCACCCGGTACCGGCCCTTCGGGTGGCAGTTCCGGGCCGGGCGCGGGTTTCGTCCCCCCGGGAGCGGGCGCGGGTTTCGTCCCCCCGCCGGCACCAGCCCTTCCTGACTTTCCAGCTGAAGCCTCTGTCGGCGAGAAGGCATTGTTCGAGATTCTTAAACAGATTAACACGAACATGGCTACTACATCGGCTCTGACGACTCTGCACAGCACCATTACGCACGAGACTCGCGAAGCGATTTCTGTGGCTGTCGACCCGCTCAAAGACGAGATGGAGGAGCTGAGGATGAGGATGAGAGAGTTGGAGGCTGCCGGTGTTTCTGGATCTGGGAGCTCTTCGCGTCAGTTGGACCTCTTGAACGCGCTCGACCCGGCTCAGCGGCAGCTAGCCTTTGTCGGTTTCACGGACAATTTCTCTCCTGAGATGCGTATCGCTGAGATGGAGCGGTTCTTCGCCTCGCTTCCGAGTCCGCCAGCGAGGATTTCGAGCGGTCACTTTTGGAAGGGATCTCGTACTAGCCGGACTCTTTCGCCAGCTTCCTTTTCAGAGTTTTCGGATCGGAATACGTTGCAGCGTTGGTTTGACGGGTTGCGCAATGAGCAGAAGCAGTTTGTCTCGAACGGCATTACAATCAGAGTCAAATTTGCGACGACAAAGGTGAACCAGCAGCGTAATTATGCTATTCGGAATGCGATTGATAAGCTTCAGGCCTTTGCTCCCGGGAAAACCGTTGCCGCTGACTGGAAAAATCGCACAGTTTCAGTAGATGGCCAGACAGCCTTTCAGCAGGGCCGGGCGGAGCTCGGAGGTAAGTTCTTGAAGCCGTTTGAGGCGCTCAAGCTTGATTTATCGAAATAGCGGTCTTGGGGGGCCGCACCGGGTTTTAGTGTTACTGGTACTGCTTACTCCCCCTCCCGTTCCTTCGCCCTCTCCTTAGGAGATAGTGTGCGGCCCCCGGGAACACGCAGAAATCGACGGCGTGGTCCGAGATCGGTGGATTCGATTTCGCGCCGTTCGAATCTCTTTCCTGTCTCCTCCTCTGTTCCCCCTCCGAGTCGCGAGGTCGGCAGCGTCGAAAGATATGCAAACTCCAGCCGGAGGCCGGATGTTTTTTCGAGTTCGCTTACTCCGGACTCTCTCGCCCGAGACGCCGGCAGCGGCGAAAGATATGCAACGTCCAGCTTGAGGCCGGATATTCTTTCGAGTTCGCTTATTTCAGATTCTTCTGTTCTTGCGCCTTTGCCTGGCCGTCCCTCTCCCGTTTCTCTCCCTTCAGTCTCTGCGCCTCCTATTCCGGTATCTCGTATTGATTTCTCTCAGAGATTGATTTCTAGTTATTTCCCTCGTGTCACTGAGCCTTTACCTGTAGCTTCAGAGCCTCAGGGCGGATGCCTGCGTGAATCCAGGCCTTTACCGCCTTTCGTTTCACAGCAACTCACCATTCTTCATGCGAATCTCGACGGTTTCTTTTCTCACTCTGCTGAGCTTGAGTGTCGTTTGTCCCTCCTCCCCTTCCTCCCTTTTCTAGTCTTTTTGAATGAAACTAAGATCGATTATTGTTGTTTGTGTCCTCGTTTGACACACTACACTGTCATAGGAAGACGCGATCGCCATTCGAATGGTGGTGGCGTGTTTGTATTTTGTCTCGATTCTTTAGTTTCTCTTTTCTCGCCTCTCCCGAATTGCAACACAGCTGAAATTATATGGATGTTATATCATGCTGACATCGGCCCTATCTTGTTGGCTTGTTGGTACAGACCTCCGTGTTACGGTGATCTGTCAGCTATTAATAGTTTCGGAGCAGATTGGGCTCAGCACTCAGGTCTTTGTGTAGGCACAGTAGTTATTGGAGATTTGAATATCCACCACAAGCACTGGCTGAAGTATTCTCGTATCGTCAGTCCGGAAGGAATTGCACTTCGTAGTTGGTGCTCTTTGCACGGATTTTCCCAGCGAGTTCAGTCGCCGACCCGGGGCGAAAATTTGTTGGATTTAGTCTTGACGGACATGCCAGACGAAGTGTCGGTTGCCGTACTTCCTAAGTTAGCTGATCACGATCTTGTTCTGTCTTCGTTCTCTTTTGCTCCACTTGCAGTGTCTAATGTCTCGCGCGAGTGCTGGAGATACTCCCAAGCGAATTGGCGTGATCTCCGGCGTTTTCTTCGTAATACAGATTGGCAGGACATTTTAACTGATAGTGTTGATGACGGAGCTAGAGCTCTTTCTAATCATATTCTGCACGGAATGCGGCAATTTATTCCTCGAGGCGTGGTCGCTAAACAGGGCTCCCACCCCTGGGTGACGCAAGAGTGTCTCCAGGCTGTCCACCTCAAGCAGGCGTGCGCTCATTCTTCCGATTTTCCTTTCGCAGTTCGCGCTTGTAGTCGTACTATGCTTGATGCTTTTCGGTCGTATGTCGCACGTACACGGATGAAGTTGCGATCTCTCCGGTCAGGGTCGAAGGGGTGGTGGCATCTTTCCCGCGAGCTGATGTGTAGAGCTTCGAAGGCCACCTCCGCCCCCCTCCGGAATGCAGCCGGAGCCTGGGTAGTCCAGCCTTCTTCCAAAGCCGATCTTTTTGCTTCGTCGTTTGAAAGGAGATGGCAGGTTCCAGTCTTGTCTGATAACGTCTACTCTGCTCTTCTTCCCCCCCCTCCCTTGCCCCTTTCTCTTCCTCCTCTCCGTCTCCGGCATGCCCGTCAAATCTTGTCAGCGTTGCGTGAGGATAGTGGCACCGGGCCAGATTTAGTCTCCGCACGGGTGCTCAAACAGTGCTCTCGCGAGCTTGCTGAACCTTTAATTCTCCTGTCGCGATTGATTTTAAGATCAGGCAAGTGGCCCGAGTGTTGGAAAGTCCACTGGGTGTTTACTCTATACAAAAAGCTTTCACGGCACGAGCCGGACAATTATAGAGGCATCCATCTCACGGCGCAGATTTCTAAAGCAGCAGAGCGACTTTTTAGTTCTTTGTTCGTCCCCCGGATGTGTCGCGAGTTGCGTTTCGGAGAATTCCAATTCGCTTACACACCTGGCCGCGGTGCCCGCGACGCCCTGTTATTTTTAGTACTCTCTTGGCTCCGCGCTTTTGCTGCGAGAAAGCGTGTCGCAGTATATTGTTCGGACGCGTCCGGCGCCTTCGACAGAGTGTCGTCGCGCCGCCTGCGCGCCAAGTTGGCAGCAGCTGGTATGCCAGCACCTCTTCTTGCTGTTTTGGAGGACTGGCTGT